TAATAATACAATAAAATAAAAAACTTACATTTGTTATGGTGGATAACTCAGAGTTACCATAAACTGACTTGGCTTTCAACAAATAATGTGAGCCATAGTCATAGTTTATCCAATCAGAGCAGAGCAGGGCGGGTCGTTCTCCCCTCCTCCCAAAGTGAGCTGCCCAACCTCCCAGGACATGTAGATATGAATGTAGGGTATAATCCACTTTCTTTCATTGATTCTGACTCAACTTCTATGTTGTTGAGTTTTTTATTGAATTTACATGATATTAAACCTGTTTATTAACATTCTGTGGTAGCAGCAGGTAATTGTCATCGCGCGTGGTTTTTAAATTTGAGGATATTGGTATTGGAAATAGGGGTGTAAGAAAAAATCGATACACTGAAATATCACGATATTTCATTTCCCGATACTGTATCGATATTCTAAAGACCTGTATTGATTTTTAATTAAGGTTATAATGTCAACCTTCTTGCCAACCGTCCATTTTTATGTTGTAGTTCATCCTCTGAACACTAGTTGGCAGCAGTGAACCAGCCATTTGGTTCCTCTATCTCTTGAGCGCCAGAGAGTAAGGGTAGCATTAGCATTGTAAGTAAACATTAGCTTTTCTTTTTTATTTCAGTAAGAGGTTTTTATTTAATAGAATTTTTGAACAAAAAATCGCAATATATCACAATATATTGCCTTGCTTACAGTATCGCAATATATCAGGATATATCGTATCGTGACCCCTCTGTTATGATATGTATCATATCGCCAAATTCTTGCCAATACACAGCCCTAATTGGAAAGTCCTTAAAAGGTCCTTGAATTTGATGTTGACCCAGGTGTGGGAACCCTGATTATAGTTTATGTTGAAAACTAACAGAGTTGTAGCTACTTTGGCCAACTTTTAAAAATGACAATTTGTGTTATGATTGACTTTCCCCCTAATCCTAACATTAACTCATTTCTTGTATTTTTTTGTGGATTTTAATGTCAGTTGGTTGTGACAACTATCTTAAATGTTTGAAGTTAATGAAGTTACTTGGTTGTAGATTCATATCCAACAATAATCTTGTTCAAGTTTGTTAAAAGTCATCTAGTTATTGAAGTGATATTTTCCTAACAGACACAGGTAAAAGCGTCGTCTTTTGGCAGTGGATAAAATAATCTCTGAGGAGCCTTTTAGGTTCAGTTCTGTTAAACAATGTCATAACCGTGGGTGGATATTTGAATTGAGTTTGAAATTTAAAAAAAAGAGTTCTGTGACGTTACGGATCTTCTGCTTTAACACTCATTGTGCTGTTTGTGTGTCCGTCAGCACTGTGGTGTGCTGCCCGGCCTGCGTGTGGTTTTACCACCATGTTATGGTCGCAGTAACGGGGGGCGTGGCAATCATTGCAGCTCTGGCTCTCTGCTCCATTCTCATCTGGCCAATCAAGATCAGACCAAGTAAGTGGTGCCAACATTCACACGGTATGCATAATGTGTGCTTTGTACTCAGGTTCAGCTTCATCTCTTTGCTTCTAGGGGATCTGCAGGTTCTTCCTGATGATGTTGCAAGAGTCAATTAACAGGCTCCTGGTTTCCTGAAACATAAAGGAGAAAAACAATCTGTGGTCTGAGGTGGACCACCGGAACCTCCATTGTTATTCCTTTTTCACGTCAAGTGACAAAGTTTACAACAGCTGCTGGCAACCAGTGAAACAAAGACAAGAAAGTAGGGTTTAAAGGGAAAATCTGGCAGTTTCTGAAGATTTGTTCTGTTAAGGTTAGGGTTAAACCTCGGGTTAGGTTAACACTTACTTACCCCTTATAGGTTGAGGGATAATTTAGTGTTCTTATCCACCAGTGTGGGTAAGAACACTAATAATAAACGTCTACTTTTGCACATTTGTATAGCTTTGTGCTGTTTTCCCAAACAAATGTCCATGTTTTTATCTGAATGAACAAAAGGTGCTTATACTGGTCACACTGCCTGATCAGTGCATCTAGTCTGTCTAAATGTTTTATAAATTCCCAGCGGACATCAGCCGCTCATCTGCATATAAGAGTGTATGCACAGCTCACATAGAAACACAGACCTTGTTCTGTGGAGCTAATTTCAGCTTTATTGTAAAATGTCTAATAATTAAATATTAGCTAAGTTACATATGTTGTATTTTGAGAAATAATTGTTTATTAAGCCTGAAAAATTATATTAAAATAGGTTCTTATTTGCCTGGATGAAGACTTCTGCCTTTCTATTATTGATCCCACTAGTTATAAACTACTGATAGCTGCTTGACAGAATATAAATTAAAAAGTGGTCGGTGCACACCACTGTCCTTTTAAGAAAATTAAACTAAACCTCGTTTGGCATTGTCTTCCATATATACAGTATATTTAACATAGGTCTATTTTATGAGAGCGTGCAGACTGTACAAAACAGAAACATGTTTTTTTTATAATTTACAAGTCATCATTTAAACACGCCTTTAATTATTATTTTTCTTCTTGTTCAGGGTATGTAAAAATTGTTACATCACCTGTCAACATGTTGCAGAATGTGTCAATGATAAAGGAAACCAAGATTAAAATAGTGCATACTTTTACTGTGGCTGTTTAAAATCCACAGGTAGGGAAGGACCAACAATTCAGACCATTCCTGCTGTATTTGCAAAGCACTTTAAAACAACTACAGAACAATAAAAATAATAATAATAATAATTGGAATTGCATTTTTTGGGAATCTGCAGAAAGTGTTGAATAACTTGAAATTTGTTGAAGATGCAAACTTAAATTTAACAAAACAAATGTAAACAGCTCAAAATGGCAAAAAAAAAGTTAAAAGGGGCATAAATAGTGTATAAAATCCAGCATAAGCCAACAATAGTTAAATCTAAATAATGGCTATGATGTGAAGTATATGATTGTTTGTGTTATTGAGCCATTTTCATTATTTAATTATTGTATAAATTGTTACCAGATTACATAAATTTATTGATAAGATATTTTTAGTAACTGTATGTGTTTAGAGCGAATAATTCAACATCAGTGGCTCTCGTGGAATTGATGGAACAGATAACTGCTGTTGATCAAAAACAGCTCTGTTAATATTTATGTTGATTTAAATAAAGCATTCAAAACTATTGACACATTATTTTCCTTGAAAAGTTGAATAAATAAGGCATTAGAGGATTAGCACTACATGTCTAGCTATTTGAGTAATAGAAAACAGTTTATTCAAATAAATTACGTCAGATCTGAACTCTAACATCACATGTGGAGTTCCTCAGGGTTCTGTACTTGGCCCAAAGTTATTTATTTTACATGTGAATGATTTAGTAAATGTTTTGGGGCTGTTAGAATTATCACTAGAAATCTTTATAGTCACCCATCAAATACAATATTTTATCAATTGAAGTTACTAAAGTTCTATCATTTGGTTGATTATAGATTATTGGTTATGTTTAGGGGTCACAAAAAGAAATTGCCTCATCCAATTAAATTTTGTTAAGAGAGAGTTGTTACAATCTTAAGCGGATAGAGATGTTTGTGAAACCTAAATTTAAAACCTATTTGAAGGAATGGTGAACATCAATGCAGGGAATAAGGTTATGGAATAATCTGGAGAGTGATGTTAAAGATGACAGATCAATGTTTGTGAAAATTATTAAAGTTGGTTTATTAAAGAAATATAAAATAATGTGTATCTTTATGAATAGTGGCATGAGTTGATGTTTTTGTTTATATTATTGTTTGAATGTATTTTTTGGAAAGAAGGGACAGATATGAGATTTTTTTCTTTTTTCTACTGCCTTTCGTGATTTGTATTTTTTAATTGTATGTAAAATTTATTTTGTTTTTAAAGAAATGAATAAAGTCTAATTAAACTTGGCACAAGAGTATCTGAATGCTAAAGCAAGTACAGCGGGTAAAATAAGTATTGAACACGTCACCATTTTTCTCAGTAAATATATTACTAGAGGTGCTAATGACATGAAATTTTTACCAGATGTTGGTAACAACCCAAGTGATCCATACATACAAAGAAATCAAACCATAAATGTCCAGAAATGAAGTTATTTGTAATAATGTGGAATGGCACAGGGAAAAAGTATTGAACACACTTACTGAAATTTATCTAATACTTTGTACAAAAGCCTTTGTTGGCAATGACAGCTTCTAGATCAGAGGTGTCAAACTCCAGTCCTCGAGGGCCACTATCCTGCATGTTTTAGAGATTTTCCAGCTCCAACACACCTGAT